ATAATCGTAGTGGTCGTCATAGTCGTAGTCCTAGTCGTAGTAGTAGTAGTAGCAGTTGTTATTTGTAGCAGTAAGTACAAGCAGCGATAGTAGAAGTAGATGTAGAAGCATACGTAGAAGTAGTAACGTAGTCGTAGGAGCGAGTTTGCCCGCGTATGCGCGGGTATGGGCGGGTATGTGGGGGTGTGGGCGAGTGTGCGCGAGTAGGCGCGAGTATCGAGCGTATCTAGGAGTGCAGTCGCCCATCGCGGCCACAATGGAAGGGCCCCCCCGGGCTTCTGCAGCATGTAGATCCTTCAATGTAGGTAAGGACCCACCCCAAGCCCCTAACCAGCGCTACGCAACGTGAAAATGAAACCGAATATCGTGTTCCAATTTACGAACCCCCACCCCCGATGTTTCATTTGTAAGGGTGGGGCCATGTCGTAGTAGTAGTAGAAGAAGAAGCAGTAGTAGTAGTCGTCGGGCCATGTCGCCGCAGTAGTAGTTAGTAGCAGTAGTAGTAGTAGTAGTAGTAGTAGTAGTAGTAGTAGTAGTAGTAGTAGTCGTCCTAGCGGTAGTCGTAGTCGTGGTCGTGGTTGTGGTATTGGTCGTAGTAGCTAGAAGTAGTCGTAGGAGTACTTGATAGTAGTCCAAGGAGTAGGAGTAGTCGTCGTCTTCGTGGTCGTTGTCGTCGAAGAAGTCGTGGAGGTGGTGATTGTAGTAGTTTAGTAGCCTCATCACCATCACCGACCACCATCACCATCGTCTTCATCATCACCATCATCATCATGTGCATGACCATCGGGGTCATCCTCATCTACTGTAACACGGGTATTAACCTCATCCTGTATTCGATGCGCACACAGAGATCGGTGTTTCAGTAGCAGATCTTCGCAATAGTAGGAAATGTCGACCTCCAACCTAGTATGTTAGGTTTTGACGCGTATAGAGAAAACATCTCCAACCCTCAATCTCCCCCGGCCCCATATATGTATACATGTACGTGTGTGTATGTGTATATGTATATGTAGGTATTCCTACCATCGTCAGCTACGAAACGGGAACAGCTGTCGCGACTGCAGCCAGCCCGGCCAACAAAAGCAGCGGCATCAGCAGAAGCCACCACCCACACCATCACCGGGAACATCAACACTGTTGCGACAAAACCATCACCGCGATGATCAACATCAGCAGCCTGACGATGAAAAAACACATTCTCAGCTTCATCCAGCGCACCATAACACGTCAACGCGATGGTGGCCATCCAGACCAGAGAGACACCGTTTCATCGGTATCGGTCTTTCTGCACATCATCATAACCATCATGATCACCGACGTCATCATCAGCATGATCACCATCATCATCACCGTCACCAGCATCTTCTTCACTGCCATCACCATGAGCTGCTGCCCTATCTTCATCGGCACCATCACCGTCGCCGTCATCATCATCATCAACAACATCATCGAAATAATCGTCGTGATAATCGAATTCATCACTCACCATCCTCACCATGTGACTCTGCATTAGGGCAGCCCCTCGTGTCCTGCCCGCATCGTCACCACCACTGCTTCCAGCAGCATCGCAATAATGACGCTTATAAGGGCAAGCATTAAAGAAGAACAGGAGATGTCATGGTAATAGCTCATCAACAGCAGCATCATCAACATCGGCACTGATCATCGTAACCATCATCACCAGCCGCAACTACTACATCAATATCAATTTCATGACCTTCATCACCAACTACATCAGCATCAGCAGCATCATTATCAACTACATCAATGACATCACCATCTTCTTCTTCCAACGCAGCGGAGGGATACTGGTCTCAGCTAGCGAGCACCTTCAATACCAGGCTATTGCTGGTATCGGCTGCTCTGGGCAGCGTGGCACTGGTGCCCTATATGGGCGGGAACAATGCGCCGTAACGCCTATGTGCGAAGCACGATAGCACCGAATCCTAATCGTCGAGAGTGTCCAAGTAACGAATGACAACTCTGGATTTGTTGACAGTCCGGCAGCTGTACAAATAGGAGTGTCTCTGAACCAGCAGCTGTAAGGAATGTAACTTGGCATTCATGGAGTCAACGTACCTCTGCATGTTCATCATCTGGGCTTCTAGCTCCTTCACGTGGAACTCGAGGAGGCTCAGATGTGCAGCGGTCCATCCGTCCCCGTACTTTCTCAAGAGGAAGGTTTTCATGTTGTCCATGGTTTCCTCCGACATGTTGGCACGGTCGGCTCGAGGCTTGAGCGGCTTCGGCTGTTTGCACGTCGGAGTGAGGGTCGTGAGTGAGCATCAGTATGTATGCATTACAGGATGCTCTCTCCATTACTTCAGTCGTAGCTGGGAAGGCACTTTTTGCATCATCCAGCACGTGTGGCGGAAATCCCCCCCAAACTCACAACGTTGTAGTGACCTTCAGTCAGTCGAGAGCCATGGTGCAGGATGAATGCTGCCACTGTGTATGCGTGCCACTGTGCCGCCAACGAGTCAGCAGAGCTGAACACAGGCAGTCGAACGACCTCAGGTATGATGATGGGGTTGTGATTCTTGGTTATGAGCCCAAAGTCAGCTAGCTCACCTCTGGGGAGCTGAAGGAACAACCAAGGGGCCGGGCGATCAAGGGCATTGCTGGTGTCCTGTCTGTGCCACCTGAACAGTAGCTGTTGGAGATCTGGCGAGTTATGGTGGTGTTGCTGAGTTGCAGGCATTTGGTCAATTCAGCTCTGGACTGAACTCGCATCCCCTCCTCGAGCCCCTGCCGTGCACTCCAAGTGAGTTGTGCATGCTGTGGTGTGAGTCTCGGCAACAGGTGATCGATCAGCTCAGCAGCGTCATGCTGCTCCCTAGGGCGCCTCCACCCTAGAAGATGGAACTTTAGAAGGTGGTGGGCGTCAAGGTGCCTGGCGCCGGGTTCGCGGAAGGAGTGAGGCAGGACTACACACCCTAGCAGTCTTTCAAGAAGCGCTAAACAGTTCACAAAGGAGTTAAGGTACAGAGGTTGTCAGGATTACGTAGGGTGAAGGGTATGTGCCAGGGAGTGTTGCAAGGACGAGTGTGGGTTGGGCTGGCACGCGCGGGCCTCCCCCGTACGTCAGCTGAGCAAGCTGCTGTGCTAGCGGCTGTCTCTGAAGGTCGTCGACCTTCATGCTGAAGCCCACCAGCCCCGTTAGGGCTGAGCCCGCCAGCTTGAGGAATAGCTCGTAGATCTCCGTGGCATTGGTTCCCCGAAGTGAGATGCCCAAGTGGAAAACGGCCTGTTGGGCTCCTTCGTCCTCCAGCTTGGCCAGGTTCACCGTGCTTTGGAACTTGTGAATCAGGGTCCCCGTGACCATCTTTTGCAGTTCGGTTATCGTCCTCACTGCTTCGTCGTGAACCAGGGGCTCCTTCTGATCGTCCTTGATCAGCTTCCTCTGCTTTGGGGACCATCGGAGATATGTCCAAGCATTGTTGCTGTCCAGCCACTCGGCCTTTCTCAGGCTCTCCCTTCCAGCTTCCGTTGCAGTGATCTTTTGGACTCTCGCAAGTAGTTCTCGGAGTAGACAGTTGATGAGCACTGTCCGCTGGGAGGAGGCTGCCGATTGATCCCCCGCAGCCTGGCGCTCCTTCCATTCTCGGGCAGGGCCGGAAGAATAGACTTGTCGTCCTGCCGAAAGAACATCACGAATTGTGTGTCCCTTCTGAGGGCAGCCAGCATTTCTTCGTGCTTCAACACAAGCTTGCTCAGGAGCCTGATCTGGGAGTCCTGCGGCGTCGTCTGAGGATAGAAGGGTCGCTGGTAGCTCTGCCCGAACTGTCCGAACTGGCCTGAAGAATTGCCGAAGGGTGCGGCCGGAGGTCTCCGTCCTTGCTGACGACCCGGGTTGCGAGTTGGCTCCGGCCGAGGTCGCTTCGGTGGCTGTTGGCCTATGGCCGGATTCGGCTCCGCCTGCTGGCCCGAGGGCATGCAGTGTGCGAAGATCTCCGCCATCATGTCCTGGTCCCCCATCGAGCTGACTCTGCGAGGAGGGTGTGCAGACGGCAACAGCGACACAGAGCTGCCACAGTACCACACACTGTTGTACGTGTCTGCAGGGTGCACCTACTTTACTGCCACAGTACCGGCAACTGCGGTTGCGAGTGAAGTGTCCTTTGAACGGTGCACAGAGCTGTAGGGCCTGAGCTGAGGCTTGAGGGTATGTGGTCTGATGTGTCCTATGAAAATGTTGCCGGATCTTCTTAGGACAGGCGATCCACATCCTGCAAATCACACAGTACGACTTGAGCCTTGTTTTTGTGACCGGACACTTCAGAAGCTTCTCCCAACTGGGCAATGACTGTTTGAAAGAGACTTGCATAATGAGCGGCAGGTGTGTGTGTGTGTGTTTTCTGCCACCGTGGCTTCAGGCTCAAGCTCAAGTTCCCTAGGGACCGGCGCCGGGTCCGCATCCGAACCATGGTGGCTGACCTGTGCAGGCATGGCAGCCGACATCCGGGCATTATCTTCGGGAAGGGGACTAAGCTTATGGCTAGAGCCACCAAGGCGTGGGCATGCTCCTGTCGTGATATGGAGCTTCAGCTGCTGCCACCGCGGAAAATTTCGCCTGCATAGCCTGCACGTCGGGAGGCCCGCTATGGCGTGGGTCGGTGCATGAAAGCTCGGGCGATTCCTCGGATCCGGTGGTGGATCCTCGTCGCTGTGCTGCAGTCCATGGTGTATGGACCTGGCGTGCGCAGTCAAGAAAACCTGTTCGCAATGCGAGCAGGGAAAAGAGGCAGAAGGTTCCTCCTCGCCTGGCCCAGGTTCGGCCATGCATTGGATCGCCCCCTGCAAGGCCACAAGCAGGTTTTGCAGCTGGTCTCTCACCTGATCGTTGCATATGAGGTCCGGGCCCGTGGCACACTTTGCTGGGTCCCTGCGGGAGCAAAGGTTCTGCAGTCTCTGGAGCAGGGCTTGTTCCGGCGGCAGTGTGGTGACTTGTGCCCATATGTCAGAAGTGCTGATGTGTGTGAGGTGTGCCGGGGATTTCAGGATGGCCCTCAAGTGCCTGGTGGCCAGCACTTTGAGTTTTTGCAATCCTTTGGTGGTGCAGCCCGTGGCCTCCAAGGAGTAGAGCATGCACGGCGGAATGCAAGCCGTCCAGAGTCGGAGCTTGTGCTTGGTCGACAGAGGCCCTTTGCCATTCAGGACCTTGCGAATTTGCTGGTACCGGCTTTGCGCTGCAGCTATCCTGTGTGCCACATTCAGATCCTGACGTCCACGGTATGCGATGATAGTGCCTAGGTACGTGTGCGAATCTTTGATTTTGAGTAGACATTCTGTACCATGAACCCAGAGAACGAGGAACCGCTCTCCTGCCTTGGTGCGGGTGTGCTTCAGAAGAAGGTCTTTGGCCTCCTTGCTTTTCAAGCTGATGAGCAACGCAGTTTTCTGAAGGTTGATCTTAAGCTTAAAAGTCTCAAGCACTTCAAGCAGGAGGGTGAGGTCTCTGAGGGTTTGCTCAAAATCCCGTATCGATTCGATTTTCCAGTGTCCACAGACATCATCCGCAAAAACCGAGAGAACTTTCTGAAGCCAAGCTAGATCTCGCTTGTATATGAGGTGCTCCAGGATGCTCAGGGTAAAGCTAACCCAAAGTGTTGGGGCTGCTCTGCACCCTTGTTTGATGCCATTTGTGGTGGTAACCTGCCCCTTGGCCGTGGCTGTTTGGAAGATATACTTGGCCCCCCTATGAAGCTGCTGGACAATGTTGACCAAGTCGTTCGGGATGCCATGGTCGGTAAGGGATTGTATCAGAAGATCCCTGCTGACACTATCAAAAGCACTAGTGAGATCCAAAGACAGACATATCCCTCCGTAGCAAGTGAGCTCACTGACCCCATGGAACATCTTGAAGCGATTGTTGGTTTGGTTCCTGTAGAAGAGCAACCTGTTCGAAGTGATTGTGGACTCTGAGGATGACATCACCACAGCCCCGGCCCTCGCAGTATGCGTATTGTGGTAAGTGGTCAAGCATGGGTCTAAGGTGTCCCAGGATTTGACGGGCGACTGCGCTGGCTAACGACTTCGCGCATGGAGGCATTAACCCAATGGGTCTTAATGCTTTCATGGAGGTCGGGGGTTTAGAGGGTTTATTGAGCCAACAGACATGTGCATCCTGAAGGTCTCCCTCCAGTCGGGCCTGGCTGTGGGGTTGTAGATGCAATTCGAAGCAGGGACCTAGGCGCTCACTCACCGTGGTGGCACAGAGCCGCCATACGGCATTGGGTGCAATGTGCCTCGGCACCGCTTTCCGAATGTTCAGGTGCTCCAACTCCTGCCGAAGGTAGGTAGCGTCGAAGCAGAATTCTCCGATCAGTGGTTTCATTTCTCCTGTCTCCGGGGTGCTGGCAAATGCAGCACGGCTGTGCTTGATCATTGCAGCCATCTCTTCCTGCCCGCTAAGAAGCTTCCCATCTTCCCCCTGCAGGCGGGAGACCCCACTCGCCGTCCGTGGTGCAAGTCGCTTCGCTACAAGAAAAAGCCCTCTATGATCCCCTTTGCATGCTGCTTCCTCGGCCTGACGAAGCTGTTCCAGCTGGAAGGATCTCTTGAGCTGCCTGCGAAGGGCAGCAGAGGCTCGGGTAAAGGCGGTGTAAAGCCTCCACCGCGACCAAATGTTGCGGAGGGACGGAAGGCCTGATCTGCGAAGCTGGCTGTGCAGCTGCCAGGTGGCCCTGGCCGAGGCACGAAAGGCAGGGTGAGCACTAACCCGGTTATCAACTTTACTTGTCAGTGGGAAGGCTTTGCTGGCCTCTTCCAACAAGATGGTGTTTACACGGTCATGCTCAGTACAAAGAGGCTCCGCCTCTGGCAGAGCGGCAATGCGGCTTTCCACAGCTGCTCGCAGTGCCTGTGCAGCGGGGGAATCAGTGGCCGCAGCTTGCTGAAGAGCGTCGGCCTGAAAGCGGTGCGGCAGGGCTCGCTGAGCAGTGCAAGCCTGCGCCCCCATCGGTAGCATGGGTATGGCAGCCCGTATCGGGAGGTGATTTGTTGCTCTATGTGCTCCAATCGGAAACCCCGAGATGGGCGAAGCAAGCTTTGCTCGGTGGTTGGCCGCACTTTGCCTTATGAGTACATAGTCTATTTGACTGTCCACCGTGGGAGAATGAAAAGTAGAAACCGGATTGGCGTGCCAAGTATTCACCGCACAGAGCCCGAACTCCTGCACTAAGGTCTGAAGTTCTCTATCCTGGTTGGAGTGGGTTTGTGGAGATGGGGTGGCAGGTCCTATGTACGGGTGACGGGGCTTTATGGTGGCATTAAAGTCGCCCGCTACTATCAGTTGATGCCTCGCCGGCGTCGCCGTGATGATCTGCTGCAGCTGGTGCCACGTGGCACTCCGCAGAGCCCGGTTGGCTGCAGCACTCAGGTGAGGCCTCCACACGTGTTGGTATAACCCCACAAGGCACATGGGTCTGTTACTTTTAAGGTGGGTAGCCTGGATCTGAAGCAGTCTGCCCGGAATGTGTTCTCGCACCTTGGGCTCTGCAAATGTTTTCGTGGAGAGCAGGCACAATATTCCGGCGTAGCGGTCGGGTTCCGATGTACCCCCATACCCCGAGCTGTGCACACAAGGCCAGCTGCCACTTCTATAATCCTGGACCTCTTTCCAGTGTGACTCAACAAGTATGATTGCATCAAGCTGTTGTTCCGGCTCCCTCGTTTCACACCATGCAAGCAGTTCCTGAAGTAGACCCGAGGAAAGTCCCCCTGAATTCCAGCTTAACACCCTGATGTGGTTTTCCGGCCTGTAGCGTCGTCTGGGCCCTTTGTGGTCGGAGCAGAGCTACTGGGTTTATCAGGGAGGAGGCGTAGGGAGTCAAGGGCTGCACGGGTGTGCCAGCGCCCTCGATACCAAGTGCCAGCCTGCATGGATTGGTTGGCTCGTCGACATGCACGATTATACGCTCTCTTGATCGATGTTTTCGGTGCTGGGTTGTTCCCGCCTGTGGGTGCTGTGCCGACAGGCTTCCCGGAGAACTGCATGCAGAGCTCCGGTCTCTCCTCCACTTCGGCTATGGAGGAAACCCTCACCCCTGCGGTAGCTTGTAGGAAGGTCCAGGCTAGGACTATGCTAGGTCTACCGCCCCCGGCATTGGGACCGGGGCAGCCAATGAACTTAGGATGCGATTTATGTGGTCGGGTGGGCTTGCTTTTACGATGGCAGTAGGGATCGTTGGGTTTAGGGTTCGAAAGCTTATGGGGCTGGGCTCGTGGGTGCCACTGGCCTGCTGGCGGGCTCGCTGCATCGCCGCTGGCCGGCGTTCGGGCACGATGCCTTTGCCAAGCTTGTTTCAACTCTAGGGGTAAGAGGTCTATGTGCCATCTGGCAACCCTACGTCTATGCTTACGGAGGATGGGCATGGGCCTTTGGAAGGCAGCTGCTCGCATGAGGCGTGGCCTCCAGGGTGCCACGATGCGACCTGCGGGAGGCTCGGGGTTTATGGTGCGGGGTTTAGGGCGACTACGAAAGAGGCAACCCAAGATAACCTGGCCTTGCTTGGGCTGCATAGGCTGTGTGCTGGCTGCTTCATTCGCGCGGAGCACCGGGTGCTCGACGGCCCCTTGCGTGGCAGAACCTCCAGTTCTCCCACTGCACCAACCATGTGCCCTGCAGGAAGCCGGGCACCACCTCGTCAAAGGCCTGCCAAGCCTCGTCCAATTCGTCTCCTTCCAAGATGAGGGTAAAGCTTGAGCCTGCAGACTCCTCCGAAGCGGCAGGTCCATCTGTCTCGGAAACAGCGTATGCTGAGCTTGTGATGGGCTAATCCGGCTCTGTCCAGAGTGGCGGCCCCACATGGTAGGCAACAGGCTGTGGTGGCGGAGGCCCTGCAGGCCTATGTGCATTCTGCTCGTTGCGAGGGCTTCTGGATGCCACATCCCTATCACCAGTGCTGTCAGCAGCTGCAGAACGAGGCGGCGCATGGCCGGCATCAGCCGGCGTCCGATCCACCGACTGCTCCCGCCTTCGGCCACGTCGGTCATGGCGCATCTCGGGGCGGGACAGAAAAAACAATCCTTGCTCGGGCCGAGGAGCTTGACATCACCATCACAATCATCATCGACATCATCATTATCATCACCATCACTGACACCGTCATCATCATCGTCATCATATTCACCAGCAACATCAACTACCACATCCATAACATAAACAACACCCTCTTCATCGTCAACTACATCAATGACATCATCATCATCATCATCACCATTGTCATCATCGTCCTCTTCATCGAAGTCGTCATCAGTATCTTCATCTTTACCCCATAGTTATCAGCATCATCACCAACATGGTCAACATCATCATCATCACCACCACTGTCATCATGTTTACCATCACTATCATCAATTTGGCTGTCGTCAGCAGAAGTACGTTGAACATTTCAATTTAGCTCTGCTGGTTCTGATTGCTTTCAGTATCGAACTACTCCGAATCCTGTACATGTCCGCAAAAGGTTGCTGGACGCACTGGCATCGTGCATGTGTGAACGCTTACAAATGCTTCCTTGAAAGCCTGGCATCTGTGCAACTTTAGTCTCGGCTACAACTTGTATTATAAAGCTGAAAACATTCTGAAAGCATCATACCCGACGGAGATGGCGGCAACATTTCCGGAAAGAGCTCAGGACTACAAGTTTGCATGATAATGCTGCCGACGACTGTCCTGTATTTAGATCACCATGGTTTGGAGTTCGGGGCTTTTGGATTGAGCCTCAGACAGAATCATGCTGAAGGACATGCAAGGCACATGCACATCCAGAGGGCCCGCCGCTTCTGCGGCGTCAGGACATGAGCTTTGTTCACCTGTGAAAATTTGCAGGATCTTGGTAGAGGATAGTAGGGCTATGCTGAATTTCTTGGGTTGCGCAGGCAGGTGCTGCAGAGGGGGCAGACACCATGGGTTTATCGTGACCCGCAGAAACCCTGGAGTAGGTTCGTCGAAGCTTCGTGGCATGTCACGCCAGCACCAAACATAGTGACACTGTCATGAAAAAGACCCTTGTGACGATGAGGCGATGAAGAAAGATGGAAACTGGAGATAGTGATGGCTCCAACTGTGAGACCTGACGCCGACATTTTATATCTATGGCTACGATGGCGGTGGCCTTGATGTTGAAGACGGATAAGTTGACAGTAGCGGCATCAGGCTGACTTGTGCTGCAGTTGATGCGGAGAGAGCATGCTCTAGGTTTAACCTTTGCAAAAGGTACGCGGCATTATTGAACAGAAAGTTTGGGAGTCGGAGCCTGTCAAGAGAACTGCGATCAGAACACTCGCTGAAAGAAGCCAAGCACACAAAACACAGATGCTAAGTCTTCTTATGCTATCGGGCACGGCCAAGCACGAGCTGAAAGTCCCTTCTCGGACAGGGACCTTGACGTCCATGGAGCGGATGTAGCTTGCGGCTTGGGCCACGGACATTGTACCGACCTTGGGCTCCTGCGCTGGCGACTTGTTGGTAGCTGGGGCTGGGGCCTTCTTTGAATTTCGATGGCTCCTTGCTGGCCGTTTCCTTGCTCATGCCAAAGGCACTGGTGATTCCGTTGAGCATGTTGCCTGCAGGATCGTGCCAACCCAATCCTTTCAAAGTCCAAAAAAATTGAAACCGTGAAACCATCAAAGCCAATCTCAGCTCGAGGATGCCCCGCGATGGGTGCCGGATCTCGAGTAGCAGATGGGGTCTGTAATTCGCATGCATTGGCTTCAAGGCGTTCGAATACATGAACTGCCAGGCACAATATGCAAGTATGCACTAGGTCACTAGGCTGCTATCTATATATACTTATACCATGTTGATCTGGTGATTTTGGGAAAGAGACTATAGGAGCGGATGAAGTTCGTTTCCAGTCCCGGGTATGATCTTACGAGACTCACCACAGCGGCAATCAGCACCATGCTTAAGGCACTGTGCACACTGGATCCCGATTCCGAAACCGAAACCCTGACCAACAACATAATTCACCTTGCTATGGACCGCTTGCGGCCGCAGTGGCTTACTGCACCGACTGCGCCCTGGAGACTGGAAACGCTGCCTCAAGTATCAAGCTCGAGCTATTTGCAGCTATTTCACACCAGATGGCCGTGGCACCGACACGCAGGCAAGTGACCAAAACACAAACAATCAAATAAGTTATTTTACTTCGAACATCCCCACCCTAGCGCCTTGTCCTTCCTTCACGCAAATCCTAAGACCAAGTAAAGAACCCGAGCCTAAACCTTAAACCCTGCTGTTCCCGACCACTCCAGGAATTCTCACGGTAATCTGTGGGGTTGGGATTCTCACGGTATGTGGGGTTGGGCACTCCAGGCATTCTCACGGTAGTCTGTGGGGTTGGGCACTCTAGGGATTCTCACAGTAGTCTGTGGGGTTGGGCACTCCAAGGATTCTCACGGTAGTCTGTGGGGTTGGGCACTCAGGGATTCTCACGGTATTCTCACGGTAGTCTGTGGGGTTGGGTACTCCAGGAGGTGATCTCAGCGGGCGAGGAGTAATAGCTGACTTTAATATCTAACAACCCCACACCGAGGGTGGGGAACAACCAACGAAGCAACAAACACAGACACACAGCCAGCCAGCCAGACAGCCGGACAGCCCGACAGCTAGACGGCCGGACAGCCTGACAGCCAGCCAGACAGCCGGAGTCAGACAGCCAGACAGCCAGACAGCCGGACAGCCGGACAGCAAGACAGCCAGCCAGACAGACTGAGCATCTTGTGAACGGATTCAACGAGTTACGGGAAAACAGAAAGGCCAATCGCTTAGTCAAGCTGCTGCGGCGTTTCTGCAGGACCGGTGGGGCTGCCGCGGGCGGAGGCATCTCCTGTCAAGCCGAAACTTTGGCTTTCGCATTTCAGGTGTACAAGCAATCAAGGCTTGAAGTGCAAACCATTGCCGTAAATACTGAAAAGTTCAAGTGCTAGACATTACTCGTCATACGGTCGACTAACTTTGAACCGTGAGGCCGGCAGTCATTTCGGGTAACTTCCGCGACCTGGAACTGATCTATCTTTACCCAAGCGCACCAGCCTCCGCGACAGGGAAGTGCACCAGCTGGAAATCCCCAGGCTCTGGAGCTTCTGTTTTCTCCGGCAAAGCGGGCATTGGAACCTCCGGGAAACACTCCAAACTACGTGTAGCGCTAGCTTCATCCTTAGGACAGCAAGCACGGCAACACTTCCATGCGACTTTCGGGGCATGCATACATAATTACACACACATTACACAAAAGAAACAGGCAAGCACAGAAACGCACACACACACACACATGAAACAAAAACACACACGAACAAAGCAAGAACACAACAAACCAACCAACCAACCAACCAACCAAACAAACTGGGAACTCAACCAACCAACCGAGCGCAAAAAAAACAAAAAACACACAGACGGACAGACAAACAAACAAAGAACGACAGACAGACAGACAGACAGACAGACAGACAGACCGACAGACGGAGGGACGGACAGACAGACAAACATAAGACAAAAACGAACAAACAAAGAAACAAACAACAAACATGCATGCATACTCACATGCACACATACATACAATACGAGAAATAATGCACGCATAAAGTCGAACGCAGGCATACATGAAACATAAACGTAGCAGCTATAGTGTAGCAGTTATGGCTACATGCGGGCGTTTGTGCTTTCATACAGACATACATACGTACGTGCATACAAATACTTACAGGTATGTCTAACAGTCTGTCTGTCTGTCGGTTTGTTTATCTACCTATCTAACTACCTGTGCAAGAAGATGAAGTTGTGGCAGTGGCTTTGAATATAGTCGCGGTACGAAGTAGGTTTTGAGATTTCGAGCGCGAGGTACTGCTGGAGAGTCCGAAAAGCGATCTCAAAGCGATACAACGTAGACTAAGACCCCAACTCTACTGACATGTTTCATACGAACTGCATAGCAAGTTGATTCAGTGAAAATTTTCATTCAATGACAGCTGATAGCCAGAAAGACTGAGAGAAGCGATTTCTAATGTCAGTGCTGACCAGTGAATGGGATGGCTTGATGCAGCTTCGGATGCAAATGCAAAGTAACCAGCGACTGCGACCTTGTGTGATTCCAAAACTGCTGTCTTCGGCCACAGCGAACGGCTCTACAAGTACTTAGCCAAAGTCTGCAAGCTCAGTATTTTGCCCTGTTGAAGAATGATTGGCTTAGCTCAACGTGACAGTCAAGCGACTCTGACGCGTGTAGAACTCTCTTGTAGCATGCTGTTCCGGAAAAAGCACACGGAATCTCCGGCCCCACTGGCCTTGAGTTGGACGGAGGCCGGACGAGCGTAGGAGGTGGGATCCTTGGCCTCCTTCCTGACGACGATCGTATGGGTCCCAGAAAAAGCATGGCCCAGGCGGAGGGTCGCTGGCTGCACTTTCGCGGGATGCTTGGGATGCTTTCGTGTGACCACCACGACTGTCTTCTGGTTCATGGTCTTCACCAACGCAGGAATGTCGGACACAGCAAAGGCTCCCTTCGACACCGTCTCCACGTGCGCCATGCAGGGAGATGACAGTGATGGCAGGGCTTCTTTCTCCATATCTATGGCTAGGGGCTGTGCTGGCTCCTGTATGTTTGCAATCGCAGTGTCCAAACCGGTTTGGCCCCCCGACTTCCGGCCGGCGGATTTTTCACTCAGCCTCTTGACGACCAGGTCGCTGCTGTGAAGGAGACTCCGCAGGTCCTCGTCGTCTTCTGGGGATATGCGGCGATGTGAAGAGTTGCCGTACATCAGCGACAGTACCCAGTACAGTGTTTTTTCGACTGTTGGCAGTCCTCGAATTGCCGAGACCTGCTCATCCTCGCTCACGAACTTGTCCCACTGCAGACTCGAGGGCAAATCTACTAAGGCTTCCAGCGTGATCTCTGGAAAGAGGACTTTGAACTGGTTGCTACACACACCCCGGACAAACTCCTGCCAGGTTACTTCACCAGAGTCATCAGCATCAAGAAAAGCCATCATGTCTGCTGCCAGCTTTGTGTCGATATTCAGCATCTCCATCATCTTGATGATCTCGGAAAGGCTAAGCTGCCCGTCTCCGTTCGCGTCCAGCCGGCGAAACACCTTTCCGAACAGTGCCACGCGTCCGAGCATCACTTCCAGCGTTTCCTGGTCCAAATCAGAATTATCCAGAATTGCTTCCGTAAGCTCCAAGTGATTCGTCTTGCGGCCACCATCTCGGAAAATTGCGAGCAATATGTTCTTACTGTCGTCGCCTTGCCGCCGGATGAACTGTATGAAAAGGTAAGTAGGCTGGAAAGCCAAACACCGATAGCTAGCGCGGATACTCTGACTCCACAGGCTCAGCGAACGTCGCTACGAGGAACTGGTGCGCAACTTACAGTATGGATGGGACATAAATTCAGCTTATCGGCCCGCAATAGTCCAACAAGTCAACCCTCAAGTTGACGATATCCTGAGCCTGCCTTGCAACCCCATTGCAGCCAGCAGAGTCTCAACCTCTGCATGGTCCAAATCTCCTGACTGGTCCTGCTCGGGACGGCTCTGAAGTGGCAGACAAGGCAAGAGTCTCAGAGTCACTACGAACAGAACCCCCCTCTCTCCTGATCAATCAGATCCAAATTGTCGGAGCAATTCTGGGCAATGCTCTTCCCAAAAGCGCTTCGCTTCGACTTGGGCGTCAGCGGGCTCACATGCATGGCGCAAAGCAACGCTAGGGGTGAAACCGACTTCGATGCTGTTTGTGATGCGAAGTGAAGTGAAAACACGCATTAAAGCGGACCATTAGCGAGGATTAGGCAATGTCCGACACACACTGGTGTTGCTTTGGTGGCTGCTTGGGCACATGCGCGTGCTTCAATCACCCTTTCCTGAGCCCATCCGTCATCCATGCCGTCCGATGCACCTTGAGCAGTCAGCCATGCCGCAGCACCTTGGTGTGCCTGCTTTCTGCACAAACCAGAAGCCATGACCAATCTGTGCGAGCTTTGTATATGGCACGAACTGGATTTAAGGTCGCTAGCATCAACAGAAGTTTGGCCACGTCCTGACATCCTGCGAATGATGCCTGTGCTGCAAAGCCGTATGAGCCATAGATGCCGAGACTCCACTGTCCTTCGATGGCGTTGTTGGTAGAAGCTTTTGTGGTTCCACCTTAGACCGTGCAAGTCAACAAATTACGAGGTGGAACACTGCAGCAGTTTCGAAAGTGCTACGACACACCCGACTCTGAAGCAAATAAGCAACAGCAACTACTTAAATACTCGCGACAATGAAGTGGAAGCCGCATGTTGGGGGACACAGTCCCTCTGTTGTACCTTTCAACTGACCGGGCCATGAGCAGCCACAACTCAACTTCTGCCACAGTACCAGTATCCCCGTCAGCGGTCAAGAAATAACATCCAAAACTCGTGTCAGCAGCACTCTGCGTACCGTGCAGGGTCACCGGGAGCGCTACCTCGTCCACCTCCGCGCGGTACGCGAAGGCACGGAGCAGCTCCGGCCGCCCTGAGCTGAGGGCTGCGCGGGAGTCGGGCTTGGCTGCACGTAGCTTGGAAAAGTCTGAGCCTGTAGCAGCTTGAGCAAGAGCTCGAGCTTAAGCGTTGCGAGGTTCAAACGCAGATTACCACTTCACCAATCATCGACAATTCACAGTTACTGGTCCAGGGTCTGTACACGGGAGCCACGGGTGCCTAAGCCCTTCCATGGGCTGGGGCAGCAGAGGAAGGCCAAAGACTAACCTCCCACAGACGCAATGTGCACCGCAGACTTCTCCGAATCCCTCATCCTGGCGGCCTTATACGCATGCCTAAGGCCGCAAGGCTTCATGGCAGATATCGAAATTCCTGTCTAGGTTCCATCCATCTCTTGCAGCGCTCGTGGAAGCCACTCCTGCAGATTCACAAGAAAATCTCAAGATGGGAACCGTAGCAATTTCGCACAGTTGTGCAGGCCCTTGGCAAGTGCAGTCTCGACTACATTCTGCACGACTGCAACCGACCTCACTCTTTGGGGCATGCACGGCAGCAGCGCGCACTACCCACCGGGAAACCTGCGAAAGAAGGGCATCAGCAAAGATGCATGCAAAGCCTTTGAAAATTGAACCACGCAGCGACAACTGCAGAGCTTGCACCGTGAAGTCTAAGTTCCTTGAAGAAGGTTTGGTGTCGACGGCACTGCCACGTTCCTGAACTTCACACGGCACTCTCTGCAGCCTGCAACCTGACATCTGCATCTTTCCTGCAAACTGATTTTCTGCCCCTAAACGGCCCTAGCATTTCAGAAGAAACCACCAGATGGCAAGCCTGCCGCACCAACATGCCAGCAAGCCAGCAATGCATTTATATCACCCGTATATCTGTCTGCTGGAAGATGCGTCTATGTAGTTGGCAGACACAACCAGCATGCGCACGTGCATAGGTAAAGAGCAACATGCACACATGCAAACGGACATACACCTACCTACCTTCCTACCTACCTCGCTGCGCCTGCCTGCCTGCCTGTCTGTCTGCCGGTCTGCCTGCCTCTGCCTGCTGACTCCCGCAGCCTGCCCGCCCACCCGACCGGCAACCTCCCACCCCCCGCCGGACAAGCGACAGGGACACTTAGGGCTTCACGCCAACAAACGTGCGAGATTCGGGCCAATGCTGACGTTCAGCTTTCCGACATGGCGTCGGAAGACGTCTGAAGTGAAGCCACTGACAATCTCGCTCGCTCGCTCTCTCTCGCTCACTTTCTTTCGCCAGGGCTGGGGTGGGGAGTAGCCCCCCCACTTTCACTCTCACTCTACAGGGCGTGAGAAAACTGCAGCGTCCAGGAAGCCCCCCTCGTTCGCGCGCACCGCCGCGGTTCCTTGGCCTCTCTGTCTCTTTCTCTCAGGAGGTCCGGCCATGCCTGGCTCATCTCAGCAGCAAGCCCGACCAATGCTTGCGGATTTCCCACGGATTCCTTGCAGTGTCTGGAATGGTTTCAAGACTTTCGGCTGTTGGTAAACTTCCCAAACGAAAAGCCAAAGGCTCGGGTGCTGGGATTTCAAGGCCCCGGAATCTTGAATGAAACTAAAAATGTAAACGAATCTACCCTTCCCTCAAGCTCCAAGTGTCCCCGAAGCGCCAGCATGGAGGGAGAGCCCAGTGGATTCCGTCAGAAGATGCCAAGACATTGACATGCTCCTCTCTCACCGGCTGTTCAAAGGTTCAAAACAGTTTGACTGTCATAGTAGCTTCCAAATTTCCTACCTGACAGTCTGAAGTACATCTTGCGCCCCAGCTTGCCCAGCTCACTACCATATTTCGACATTGACAGCATTTGCAACTGAGCCCTCCATAGTTCGGGACCATCCATAAGGCCATAAGGCTCTAACTGCTCTGGTGGCTTTCGATTTCATGCTTGTTACGCTTTGTAAACGGTCCTATCTGTATCTACCAGGACAGGTTTTTGCCGTCACTACTTGCCTGTCTACAGTTACAGCCAATACACGTGTAAGCACACAAAAAAAGGCGGTTTGATCTCTACTGTCACATTGGGGAGGATGTTGCTCCTGCTCTGGCGCTCGATTCTGCTGTAGCTCCTGCTGCGGCTCCTGCAGCTGCTCCTGCTCCTGCTCTTGCTCCAGCTGCGGCTCGTGCTCCTTGCTCTTATTCTTGCGCCTGCTCCTGCAGCGGCTCTTGCTCTAGCTCGTGTTCTTGCTGTTGCTCCTGCTCTTACTGTTGCTCCCGCTCTTACTCTTACTCGTACATCCCCCCGATGCAAAGCGGGTTTTTACCAAGGTGGGGATGGTTTAAGGGCATTTCAAAGTTCTTTATTATACGGGGGTGTCGAATCAGGCGGGGGAAGTGATTACATATGTACATACAAACAAGTGCAAGTACAAATACAAACATCCATGCATGCATGCCTGTACAACAGCCGATTGCAACCAGATGGACCTTCAGACCCATGCGTGGTGCCACATCAAAGTTGTGTGATACATAGAGATGGCAAGAAGCAACCAGCGAGATCATGCGTGATCTTACGATTGAAAATCGCTACAATTCGTCTGCCTGCCAGTTTCCTCACCGCCAGGACTGATAGCACCGAAACATCAATAATTCAGCCATCGAAATAAACAACATCTGCAAGATGGCGATCAATGTCATCGACATCCTGCTCTTCAGGAGGCTTCTCCTGCTCATCTTCGTGCTCCGCATCACGACAGTCGAAATCCTCGGCCCCTGCTCATCAACATCGACCATTGCCTTCGTGACCCAGATTTCATCGCTGCTGTCGACACGATCATCGTCCTGCTGCTCGTCTTCATCCTCAACCTGACTGCCATCCTCCTGTTCGTCATCACTACGGTCATCGTCATTACAGCGTGCGTGCCTGCAGCCAAAAGTGGGCAGGGGTGGGGTGGGGGTTAGTGGGGGGCGGGTGGGGGTGGGGGTGGGGCTAAGGGCTTGCCCATTGCCAAGTTCTGGCTCTGTGATCAGGGGAATTGAAGGGGCATTGCGTGTTGTCAGGTTGCCCTCTCACCGATGGCCGGTGCATCAATCTTGCGGTTCGCCTGCCGTCGGTGAGCTGTGGAACAAAGATCGAGTACAGTGAAAATACTGTATAAGAACCCACTGCTTAAGAACCTGAGCCCCTACCCAAGGCGGAATTCACCAGATTCAAGTTGCCTCAATGTTAAGAACCTTAGGGTACCCTAGTTTTTTGGGTCAGGTTCTTAATTTTTCGAGTGCTTTCCCTCACCAAGGAAATTTAGAATCGAAAACTAAATTTCCGAACCCTCCACGTCAAGAAGCCCTCTGCCCGGACATAATGAACGTATGATGGCTGGGCAACAGCAGGCATGCCACAGCGCAGTGGTTGTGCATGAGTTCTGGAGACAAGAGATCTTGTTTCGAACCCCATTGGTGTCATGCACTGAAAATTTAGAATTGAAATCTAAATTTTCCAAACCTCCAGCATCCTGCCTGTGCTTCCATGATTCCAAGGCACCAGGAAATTCAGAATTGAAAAATAGTTTTTCCACAACAGCCTCTATACTGGCCCTGTGGTTCCAGGCCCAAGGCTTCGACCCACACCGACGGCGTCAGGAAATTTAGAATCCAAAAGTAAATTTCCAGCTCTTCCTCCCGACCCCCAAAAACCCCTCGCCCACAAAGGAAGGACACTGACCGAGCCGAGGACAGCACCCCCTAGCGCAGTGGTTCCGCGTAGGTCCCTATGCGGAAAGCCTTTGTTTCAATCCCCAGTGGTGTCATGCCACTGACTTGGGCTTGCCCGCAGCTCGTGTTCCACCGAAACAGAGCCCCTTGCCACCAAACCGTGGAAATTTAGAATTCAAAAATAGACTTTCCACACCAGCCTCCTCCTGGCCCTGTGGTCCTTGGCCCAAGCCACACCCCCGGCACCAGGAAATTTAGAATCCAAAAGTAAATTTTCTGGAGGGCTGCGGAAATTTAGAATTGAAAACTAAATTTTCCAGACCCCCATGGCCCGCCGCCCCCCACCAGGAAATTTAGAATCCAAAAGTAAATTTTCTGGAGGGCCCCTGGCCGTGCCCTCCGCCCCGAGTCCTTTCGACGAGCTGTGGAAATTTAGAATTGAAAATTAAATTTTCCAGACCCCCATGGCCCACCGCCCCCCATCAGGAAATTTAGAATCCAAAAGTAAATTTCCTGAGAGCCCTTGGTCCATTGGTCAAGGTACCGGATAAGAACGTGGTTAAGAACCTGAGCCTACCCTAGCTGCTCGAACGGCAAAATCACATGTAATGGAAATTAAGAACCTTAGGGTACCCTACTCTCGCCGAACGGGGTTCTTATACAGGGTTTTCACTGTACGGTGATCGTCTGACCTGTGAGAGGGCTAGGTGGCCTAGTGTTCGGGTGTTGCCCAATTCCGCGAGCACTGAGTGCAGCGACCGCGAACCCCAAACCCACACTTCTGAGTGCAGGAGGTCCTGAGGGCCCTGGGAGCAGTTCAGCGACCGGTTCTGCATGGACAAAACATGAGAGGATGCCTGGAATGGGCATGTGGACAAGCAAGCAGGGTTTGGGGCTTGCGGCTTTCGGCCTTGAAGCCGTGCTCAGGTAGAAATGCGCTTACACATACTTCGCAGAAGTCGCTGTCTGGCATTTTGGAAATTACACTTTGTCTACAACATCTTAACAACGGCGCAAGTAAGAACTATAGAGAGAAACAGAGCAGCAAACTAGGCTGGAGACAACACCACAGAGAGAACAATGAGAGAGTTCTGATAGAAGAAGCCTTTTGCATGCCAATAGATGCGTTGCCGGGAGCATCATCAAACAATCCGAAAGAGCAATGTGCCGCCGACGCGTTGTATCTGAACTGGAAACCCCGCAATTCACACAGCATCTACCACGGAGACTCAGAATCCCAGAAAATCCCATGAACAGGTGCATATATGTGTATGTATATATATATATATACATACATATATTATATGTAGATATACATATGTGTGTGTGAGCAAGTATTTACGTACGTATGTATGTATGTAACATACCATAATAAAATGCAATACACACCACTATAATAGACTACAGAAAATCTGTAAGATAGAACGCAGTATATCATAACACAGCATAACATAACACAACACAACATAACATGTCACAGCATGACACAATAAATTATAGCACTACAATATCACCTACATTCAAATATTCTGCTGCCTGATATACTAGAACATCGTAAAGCAGGTTATACACTAACACAATGTAGTAGAGTATAATGCAAAAGAGTAGACTGAGCAGAATAGGCTGGAACAGATACGTATGTATCGTTATATAATGTAACACGAGTTCTATAGGAAAGTTTTATAACGACACAAAGGGGGGAGAGGGAGAGAGGGAAAGAGAGAGAGAGAGAGAGAGAGAGAGAGAGAGAGAGAGGGGGAGGAGAGAGGGGAGAGGGGAGAGGGAGAGAGGGGAGAGGGGAGAGGGGAGAGGGGAGAGGGAGAGAGAGCGAGCGAGCGAGCGAGCGAGCGAGAAAGAGAGAGGGAGGAAGAGTTCAAAAGGGCGCAGCAAAACAGACAGGACTCGGGATAGGGAGCGACTGTGAGCGACAGCCGAGTATACAGACCCGAGCCGGACAACATACAGCTGGGTGGCCGAGTTCAGGCCAAGGTCAATGATGGCATAGCCCTGCCTGAAGCAGGCGCTTAGCAGACTCTTACTTTGTTAGCATCACCGTCTAGGCCGTCATCCTAAGAGTTTGCGAGGCTCCTCTGGCTGTGATGCCGACGATACTGACGATCAATGGGATAATGCTGCTGCCTCTGGTGATGACGACTGAAAGACCAGCAGACCAGTTGATATGCATGGAATGCATGATGCTCCGGGCTGTGCAAGCTGTGGCGATAAGTCCTGACAACCATGTCTGAAACTTGTGATTGTCTAGTCCGGGCAAGAGCCCCAAAGCCACACATAGCTAATGCATCGTCCATCATCGTCCCATAAGAAACATGTTTGCATGGACTCACCCTCCTGCCCCTGAAGGCCTCAGAGCTGTAGCCACTTCCTTGCCGTTCCTTCCAGACGTGAAACGCGGCAGGAGGCCCCGGGACATGAAACCTATATCTTCTAAATAAACTCCAGGCCTTTGGACATCCCTGCATCCAGACTTCATCATGTTCGCGTGTCGGTCGCTCAGTTACAGATTTTCTCGAAAGAACCCGACCATCCCCAAATCAAACCAAGAAGTCCTTGGACCTCCGGATTAGTTGCTCTTGCTCCTGAGCCTCCCAGAACCCAGACCCTTCACTGGTTACACAGTCATCGGCCATGCAGAGCAGTCCTTCCGGACGGGTCTCCCTGCCAGGGAATGACGGCCCACACAACGCGAAGGGCGGCAGCAAAGACCCAAACAACCAGTCTCCCAGAGCAGCTCATGGCAGGAGTCCTCTAAGGCAGTGGTCTCATCCCGAGGACGGCAGATGCTGATTGAGCCAATGAGTGCTTGCGTGCCTTTTGGAGACCTGGGTGCAGGGATTGATGATGAGGGGGCGAGTCTGGGTGCGAGCTGGTGCCACGATTCGCAGATCATTTTCCTCAAAAAGCAATGGACTGCGCTCCTATCCGCTTGAATAGAGCAACTCAGCAATATTACGTGACTTGGTCCTGTCGCTGGACGGTCTCTTTTCAACGTCGATTTCAGTGCTACTCGTTGCAACTGTCGTTTGCGAATGCTTCCTTCGTCCTATCCGTGTAAGGATGTTTCTGCACGATTGCTAAGCTTGTCTTTACGGCTACACGCCGATGAAACCCCACAGCGCTTCCACACACCCACCGCCAGATAGCAGTGACCAAGGACCAGAAATCTGAAGCTCTTCAAACCCTGCAAACCACGACCTCCGAGCTCATCGAGTGGAAGGCGTGGTCGCTTGCCATTCTGCTGGCCAGAGTGGATTGAAGTGGAGGTTGTATCACATTATACCACAATACGCCGAATCTGCTGAGCGGGTGTAACTACACGCACAAATATTATTACCACATGTATGTATGTATGTATGTATGTATATACATTATGTAAAAAACAAAATATCACAATCATTGCAGGTTCAAAAATGTTCAAAACATTCTCTGTACAATAGTGACATAGTGCAGTTGTGTCTATTTTACATCGAAGGTTCGCGGCTGTTCTTGTTGTTGCGTTGGATGCAAATGCGTCGACCACATCTTCACCACTCGAAACTCCTGGGGCGACGCCAGCTACATCCGGTTCTTGAAGCCTTTGCAGTAGAAGTGTAGTGCGTCAAAGTGTATCCGCAACAGAGGCGCCGCGCTGCCAGCCATAATAACGCCAATTTCAAGAGTTCATCCGAAACAAGGCGTTCATAGTTCATGCTACCAGCGCCAACAGCGGCTCCTAGCTTATTACAATGAGAGCCTCCGCGACTTCTGTCAAACTAATCTGTGGTTCCTAGTTCATCCTTAACGGTGCAGTTCAATGCCAGCATGAATGCTGCCAACCTTAACAGCCGGTTCTTGCTGCATGTCAACCTACCGCCCTTGAACGAGAACATGTTGCCAAACTTGGTGACAGAGCAACCATCTTGCCTGCTGGCTAGAGTTAGGTTTTGGGCACGTTTCATCGAGAGCATCGATGTCAGCATTCAACGCTCGGTTCTGGCTTGTTGGCTGTGCCTTGGCAACCTTATCCCTCAAAAAAAAAGCCTTTCCACTCATAATTGGTTTACTAGGAGAGATGGCGGAAAGATGCGGAAAGCCGGTTCGGTTTCAGTTTTATTGCTTATAAGACACATGGCTGATGCCTTTTTAAGGGTACCAGGGTTTAAGAAGATAGCGTTTCCCTGTCGCCAGATAGCGTTTCCTGTCCTGACACATAGCGTTTCCTGTTCTGACGCATAGCGTTTCCTGTGCCCAAGATAGAATACGTAATTGGTTTTCGATCGAAATCCATCTTGCTCGCTCAGGGCCTGCGGTGCCCTGCCCGCCGTTCGCAGACTGTGTGAACAGTGGCTCATGCATGTTTGCATGCATGCAGAAGACATGCTCGTTTAGGAAGACATGTTCCTATCAGGAACCATCTACAGCCAACACACAATCTAGGATGGTGTGTATATGACATTGTGTAGCCCATGCATGAAACTCCTCTATCCAAAAGCTGCAGTCTTCTTATTCCAGCTGAAATCAAAGCCTCTACCCGAAAAGCTGAGGACGAGCTGTTATTGGTGACTTCAACGATACACTGCCTATAGATGTTTGACCACTGTGTTGGCACTGTCAAAGAGTTGGTGTCTCGTGATGTGTCGCATGGGCGCCGTGCAAAGGCCTGACCACCCGGCTTCTGCCGTGCATTGCAGCATGGACTGTGTGCTTTGGCTATCTCGGGCAAACGTGCACCCTCTGTATGTGAATACCTGCGGTTATGCATGCAATCGTACTCGGCTGCAATGCAAGGCTGTTCTTGCTCAAGAGGGCTCTGACAGGTTTTTCGTCGGTGCGGTGATATAGGCATGGTGTCGCTTGCTGTGCTAGCCAACTGCTCCCAGCATGGTGTGCAAATCGCCCACGAAGAAGGACCCCTAAGCACGCTTCAGTGAAACTGTGTCTGGCTTCTCCAGATTTTAAAAATATGTGCATGAGGACTCATGAGTTTGCCGCAAACTTTCTGGGCTACTTGCCTTACGGCCCTTTTCGAGGACGAGGCCTGGGAGTTTGCTAAATCAAAACTTAAAATTGAGTTGTCCTTGTGTCGTCAATTATATTTCTTGAACAATTCAGGTCCCAGAAATGACGGGTGATGCCATCGTGAAACTAGTGGCGCTGAACATACGTCTCGGGGGTGTTTGCAAGCACTTCCAAGAGCTGTTCAAGAGCACTGCTGTTCCAGCCACTCGACTTTTTTCTAGAATGCTGCAGAGTCCGCTCATCTTCAACCGCCACATGCACCTGCCCAGGTTACGTTGTCATGAGCCAATGCCCAAGGGGGCGACTGTTTGCAGGAGGATACACGTAGTTGAGTTGTACAGGCTCTGCTGTGTGCAGTGATACATGTGTGGGCCCTCGGTGTGATGTAGCTTCATGCACTGGCTGTGGCAGTAAACAATCTAGCTTTGCCATCAACTTTCTTTTGCAAGGGGCACATATAGTGGCTGTGCATGCGGGCAAACAAGTGCTTGGATTGAGCCGTGGGGGAAGGCGGCCGTTCAGAAAAGATGGATGCTGATGTCGATGCAAGAGCTTCAGGTGTAAGGTTTGGGGCTCACAGACACTATCCATTGCAGGGCCTGAAATACGGAAGCGTTGAAGCATTGATCGTCAACCCATACTAGGAGGGTCGGGGGACTTAGTAAAGATATTATACAGACATCTTCTACACGATAATCGTGGTTATGATACGTATATACTTATATATTATATATTCTATAAAAAGCTAAGTCCCCCAACCCTCCAATAGAACCTACAGTGTACTTAATATACAATATATGCCCTATACAACGATGCCCACGCAGGTTGCTGTCCTTCGTGATCTTCATCGCGAATCTTTTCCCTACAACATTGGTCAAGGCCGGAGTCGTATACTCATGATGCAATAGCTTTCGAAGCAAAACCTCAAGATCGAGGGCAAGGGCAGCTGCGCATCTCTACGGCACCTCATCCTCTGCCATCCTCTCCCGGCTCCCGTTGCAGGTCGGCTGCGGCAGTGGCTGCATTGCCTTGGCTTACCAGGCTTGGCCTGGTTTTCCTTATATCGAGGGTGGGGAGTTTGGGGTTCACTCTTGTATGATATGGGCTCCGCACTACTCGGGAAATGTGTCCATGTAGGCCCATTGAAAGGCCAACGCCCCTCCAGATGATTATATAAGTCTACAACCCCAGTCTTAAAACAACTTGTGCAAGCCTTGCATTCCTGCGCGAAACCGAAAGCACTGCTTCCATATAATTATATAGACAGTTTATACAGTAGAAACATGGCAACACTTGTCAGGCGAAGTTGGAGCCTTCCTGGCCGAGCTCGTGGTCTTCTCAAGGTCGGCTTTCTACCATGCAAAGAATCGAGGGGTTTAGGGGTTTGGGGGTTTATGGTGCTTTCGGGGTTTAGAGCATCGGTGGCCCCCGGTAGCAATTTGTGGGTTGCAGAGACTCCGAAATCCTTCAATGAATACATATATATATACATATATATATATATTACATCATGTTGGTCTTGGCCGTATGTAAGGTATATTCCAGATATAACTGAAGGATTTTGGAGTCTCTGGGTACTTAAAAAAAAGTTTAGTGGCCTAATAGGGGCTTTTACGCAGGGGTTTAGAGGGTATAGAGTAGAAGCCAGAAAGTTGGAACATGGATTTAGGAGGATTTGTGCTAGGATCCCGTATACTTTACTTTAGGGGCATGAGGATACTAATGTTCCAACTTTCTGGCTTCTACCATAAGTGTTTCGGGTTTGGGGCTTAGGGTACACGGCTGTTTACGAGCACGTGCCAGAAATGCATGCAGCGAGGCTATGTTCCGGAATGTACATGCAGGGTCAAGAGCAAGGGTTCCGTAGACCTCGGTGTTGCTTTAGTGGCCATGGCGGCCGCAGCCATAGTTGCAGCAGAGCCGGATGCCGAAGATGCAGTCGATGCAGTGGGTGTCGAGCTGCCTCCGAAAGGTGCGCTTATGCGCAGATGGGAGGACAGGTCCCTAATCAGAGAGCACGTCAGGGCCCACAAACGCTTGTTGATGTGGCCCTCGGCTGAGCAGACAGGAGTGGCTTCTCATCTCAGGCCTCGTTAAAACTAAACAGGTTCGCCATTGCCGACATTTTGGTCGAATGGGGCAAGGTCAGTAAAGAACCCAAGGCTCCTCCTATCAGCTGGCTTAGGGACGAGGCGGGAGGTTTCAGTTTGTTGTTCTTTCGTGGGCTTGTCCTTATATAGGCGTAAGCTTCGAACGAACTCTCCAAAAGTTTATTTCAATCCCCATACAGGTCAAGCAGTTGCACAACACGCTTGTCACTGACCCCAACAATGTGACGATATACGTCGACCAATGGGGCGCCAAGAGACTAAGCTCTTTCTGCATCCGCAGATTCCGTTCGGGCATCATGAGCTTCCGGGACAGCGGGTCAAGGGCTACATAGGGAAATTTCGTCTATATACATATATATATATATATGAATATATATATATATATATATATATATGAATATATATATATATATATATATATATATATATGCGTCACGTATACACACAGTACACATGATGATTGGAACAGACAAGAAACAAGTAGATCGACAGATATATGTAGGTAGATAGATATATACACACACGTATACAGGTAGAAATAATAATTATATGATTGCCTATACTGATTTTTCTTGACGCCGTCGATTTTGCAGGATCCATCTCTTCAGTTTCTCATGAACATCATGA